ATAATGGGAAACAATGCAAAAAAAAAATTTTAAATAAAAAAGTAAACAAACAAACAAATAAACAAATAAAATTTATTAAATAGTCCTAAAGCTATTGAAGCTTATTTGAGCCACGGGGGGGAAAACAAATTAAAAAAGGTAATTCTGACTTCTTATCTCATAATTCTGTCAGATATGAACTTAAACAGATATAAACTTGCAACTGCAAGAGAAAAAAAAAAAAGTAGTAAGATAAAAAAGTAATCAAGTTTAATATTTTTATTCCATGGCGAGAAAAAAACCCAGAATTGCAAGATGTAAATTCAGAATTCTGAGAAAAAAGTCTGAATTGTGAGATATAAACTCAGAATTCAGGGAAAAAGTTAGAACTGTGAGATGTAAACTCGCAATTGTAAGAAAAAAGTCAGAATTCTTAGATAAAAAGTTGCAATTACCTTGTTTATACTTTTATTCAGTGGTGGAAATAAGCTTCAGTGGAAAACAGGCTTAATTTTGAAATATGTGCTGTTGTGAAAGTGACATGTTGCAGTGAGATGGTGTTCACACCTGATCTGTTTGCTGGACATGATGGGCTGGTGTTGTCATGTTGTAGGGTGGGCAGCTGGTGTCTGTTCTGCGGGGACCAAATGCTCCTCTCCTGCAGAGGGTGATACAGGAAGAGCTGAGCAAAGAGAAGAACGTCCTAGAACACGGGGCGGCACGCAGGGAGGTGAGTTACTCCACACACCTGTCGTTATTACTGTGTGGACAACAGATGACGCCTGAATCTGGAAAAAAATTATTTGGGAAGAAATTATGGAAATGTAGTCCAGTATGAGGTGCAATCTACATATATATGCATGTATCATTTCATTTCAAAGCACGAAAGAAACTCTGAGCATGTAATGTCGTGGTTATGTCATCAGTTAAGTCACGAAGTTACAAAAAAGGTGATTAAAAGCTGCCTTAAAAGTCACATTTAAAGCAGTATCAGATCCGCATCAAGTTCAGCAGCGGCAGCTCTTAAAGTAGCAGCCAAAATATCCTAATAACCAGCTGCTGTGATGTATGGAAGCCCGTTTCTGCCACTGAATCAAAAAATTGCGACTTATCTCACAATTCTGACTTTTTTTTCTCACAATTATAAGTTTACATCTCACAATTGCCTGATACAAGCTCGCAATTCTGCCTTTTTTCTCAGATTTGCGTGATATAAATTCGCAATTGCGAGTTATAAAGTTAGAATTGTGAGATATAAACTCGCAATTCTGAGAACATATCAGTCTTTTTTTTTTCTCCTTAAAACTGGACTTTATAACTAAGTTTATATTTCTGACTTTATTTCTTGCAATTATGAGTTTAAATCACACAATTCTGAGAAAAAAAAGTCAGAATTGTGAGTTTATATGACGCAATTCTGAGATGTAAACTCGCAATTGCGAGAAAAAAAGTCAGAATTGTGAGATAAGTCGCAATTACCTTTTTTATTTTTTATTCAGTGGCGGAAACAGGCTTCCATAGTGATGTCTGTTAATCAAAGAACAAAATAAAAAAGAGGAAATCAATAACTTCTGTAGTTTTAAGCTTTATCTCTATTTAATTTAGAATTTAGTGTTTGATAACTTTATTAAATTATATTTTCTATACTTGCTGAAGGGCACAGGTGACATTTACTGGGTTTATGTGAAGATTGTTTTAAGTTCACTTAAATTAGTTGTTATTTTTTAAAGTCTAATAAATGTTAAACTGATAGCTCTCAATTATGTGAGGAATAGTTGAAGTCAATTATTCCACTTATACTACGATTACCACACCTCAAGACATCGATCAGATGATATATTTCAAGGCATTTGTCCGGTTTTTCTACTTAAAACGCTATTGAGAGTATGATTAATTTCTTCCGCATCTCATCCAACGCCTCTGTTGCCAATTCCAAAACATCATTTTAAACCTAGTAACGGAGGCATGAGCCGTTGATAGCAGACTAACTAAGAGAGAGAGAGTCTGAAATAATTATCACTTATTGTTGTCAGGGATCTTTTAATCTATATAATAAATATAATTATAATGATTTAATTATATATAATTTTATTTAATAATTTAATAATAATCTAATTAGTCAAGTCAAGTCAAGTCTGCTTTATTGTCAATTCTTCCACATGTACAGCACATACACACAGAGGATTGAAATTGCGTTACTCTCAGACCCTTGGTGCATGCAGATAACACTAACGGTAGAACATAAATACAGATAGATATATACAATATTATATATTGCAATATTATCATTATTATACATCAGAAATAATTATCCTTTATTGTTAGGGGCTTTTTAAAGTAGTAACATGAAAGAGATGTCATTCCAGGTGACAGATGAAGGTTTAACTGAGGAAGAAGAGGTGAATGATGACATTAAGGATCACCCACATGATGAAGATGTGATTGGTAATGATTTTCCTTCATTAAACGTCATTACATTAATTGTAATTGTCCTGTTGGCTGAATTTACCTGCTCTGGTTTGTCTTAGTTCCTGCTAAAAAGTCTTGCACAGTGGCAATAATCAAGCCAGATGTGGTGGCACACGGCAAAGCAGATGAGATTATTATGAAGGTAAGAGCTCAGTTTAAGGGATAAATAAACCCAAAAATGAAAGTTGTCATTATTTTTCACAATCAGTCATTTGAAACCTTTATGCTGTTAATATTTACATGTTTGGAACAATATGAAGGTAAAAAAAACTATGAACTTACATTGTTGCATCTTTTAAAGTTGCTTATATTCATATGATATTTGCCACATGGATAAACAGCTGAACACTATTTCTTCCTGAATGCATATTTTGTTTCTAGATTCAGGATGCAGGTTTTGTGATTTTGGCCCATGAGGAGAGAACGCTGAGTGAAGCAGAAGCTCAAGACTTCTATCAACACAAAGCCGCAGAGGTAAAATGAAGAAAAAGTCTAAAAATAGCATGTTTTTTAATGTTTTTGCTGATGGTGTGTAGTGGCAGAATGCCAGTGTGTCATGTGAAGTGTGTGTGCTTGTGTGTGTTCTTCCAGCCTTACTGTCAGGAGCTCATCCAGTTTATGTCGAGCGGCCCGTCGCATGTCCTGCTCATTTCTAAGACGGAGGGCTGTGAGGACGTCATCCCAGCCTGGCGGGAATTCATCGGTCCACCGGATGTCGAAGAGGCCAGGATGCAGCAGCCGGAGAGGTACTTCATTCCCAGGAAAAGAAATATATAGACTTTATGTAGGAGTGACACATGAACATAAGCAGTCCCTCTGACATTTGCATTATGGTAATGCAAAGAAAGATCTTGTTCAAAAATCCAAATCTCAAATCCAAATCACATTAAATAAAAAAATACAAATATCTGAAAATAACTAGAATAAATTTAAGCTGAAGTACTTAAAATTACTAAAACTGAAATAAAAATAAAGCTAAATAGAAACAAAAAAAAACAAATACTATAACAAAATAACTCACACAAACTAAAATTAAAATAAAAACTATAAAATATAAAAACAGATGCTAATATAAAATAAAATATTAATAAAGCTGTTAGATTTTTGGAGAGGTGCACGTCAGGCTACGGCGTATGGGTGTGCGTCTATGCGTAAGCTACGGCGTAGGTCTGACGCAGAAGTATAAATCAGCCTTAACACTTTGAGTCAACCAACATATGACTTACATTTATTGATCACTACATCATTCCCAAACATCCATTTCAGTGTGTATTATTATATAATAGTATTATAATTTGCATTAATTCTTAAAATATTTATTTATTTTAAAATATAATATTTTATATAAATATAATGATTTAAGCTTTTTTTATTTTTCAGTTTTCATTTTAATTTAGATTTTATTAATTTTATGTGCTTTTTCCATTTTTATTATTTAAAAAAATTATATATTTCTATTTGGCTTTATTTACATTTCATTTATTCTAGCATTAGTTATATGCTATTTTAATTTGTATTAATATTTATTCATATTTTAATAATATTTTAAATATTATATATTTTATATAAATATCGATGTTATAAGTTTATTTTAACATATTTTTAGTTTTCATTTTAAGTTTAGTTTAAGTTTTAGTAATTTAAACTTTTGCCAAGTTTTTTAAAATATATTTCTTTGGCTTTACTTTTATTTCAGTATTTTTTATTTTTTTTCTATTTCTATTTAGCTTCATTTTTATTTCAGTTTTAGCACTTCAACTTATTTTATTTCAGTTAGTTGCCAAAGCATCATCTAAAATTTTTGATATAATATTTGATTTCAGCTTTATGTCAATTAACTGAAACAAGTTTTAGTTTTCGTTAACAATAACAACACTCCTCCATTTGTGTTATTTTGTAGTTTCGATGACTTTACTGTTATTCCACAATGTGTGAAAGTGTCATGATGAGAGAATGAGTAGATGTGTCCAAACCTTTGACTGCTAGTGCAGGCCAGGGTGATTAAGCTGGAGCTCTAACAGTCAGGGAGTAAAGTGCAGATGTGTTTGTAGAGGAGATTCTGGGCCAGATCCATGAAGCAGGATTTACAGTGGTCATGCAGAGAGAGCTCATGCTGTCTGAGGATCAGGTCAGGCAGTTCTACAGCGATCATCTGGAGCAGGAATACTTCCCCAGCCTGCTGGAGAGCATGACCAGGTGAGCGATCGCATTCATCACACATCTGATGCTGTGGAAAAACAATAAGCCTGTGCCGAGTCAAGCGGTTTATTACAACAGCAGCAACCGTGATATGATAAAACATGCCAATTTTCAACATATACAGTACAAGCATGCATTATTAATAATCATTTGAATTATCGCCAAGCAATGTAGCTTATGTAATTATAGAATGGTTTCAGAACCAGGTAGAACCTTTCAGACTCATCCAATCAGAATACAGAATTAGCAGTTTCAGTGTTCTGTTACATGGCTCTCTGCTTAAAGGGATAGTTCACCCAAAAATGAAAATTCCATCATCATTTACACACTCTCATGTCGTTCTAAACCTGTATGAATTTCTTTAGTCTGCTGAATGGCTACCAGCAACTGTGGCCAACCAAACAGTTGCTGGTACCCATTGACTTCCATTCTATGGGAAAAATACAATAAAGGTCAGTGGCTACCTGCGACTGCTTGGTTATCAACATTCTTCAAAGTATCTTCTTTTTTTTGTTCAACAGAAGAAACTCAGGTTTGTAAAAACGTATGGGTGAGTATATGATGACAGAATTTTCACTTCTGGGTGAACGATCCCTTTAAATTAATAAAGTAATTCAATATGGAAATTAAATGCATTTGAAAAGCTTCAGCTTGAGATTTATAGTTATTAAGGCCAGTTTTGCAAAATAGAATACAACAGCATTTTTGAGCAGTTCTCATTTTTGGATGTCAAAACATGGATATTACGGTTACCTAAAATGTTTTACTAAAATTTTCAAAATGAGTATAATTACAGAATCATTATTTAAAATAAATGTCACCTGAAAATATTTTATAGATAGATAGATAGATAACCATTCTGATTGGTCAGCGATCCACTCCGCTTCATGTCGTGCCTAACGCCCTTCAGCCAAATAAATGTTACCTGAAATTAATAAATGCTTAATAAATGTTAGCTGAAATTTTTTTTATATTTTAAAATCTCTCTCTCTATATATATATATACTGTATATATACACATGCACACACACATATATATAAAAAATGTTGTTACTTAAAATAAATGTAGCAACTTTTCTCACTTTTGTTTTAACTAAAACTAAATCAACTAAAGCTAATACATAAAAAGTAATAAATACTATAAAGACATTTTTTTTTTAAATCACTAAAAATGACAAAAACAATAAAATTAAGTTTTAAATTACAGTGCAAACAAAATATAACAATATATTCTAATTCAAAACATTAACAAAAACTACAATAGTATATCAATGATACTGAAACAACTCCAGTTTTATCAAAATTATAATTATTAATATAATTATTAGATATAAAATATGCTATTCATTCTGAATTATGAATGCTGTCTTATCGAATCTAAAAAGGACTGTAAAAAAACAAGTTATTTTTTTATCTTCAAATTAAGCTTAATTGTAATCTTAGCTACATAGTTGCTAATTACATGAAAATAATGTGTAAATGAAGAAGCCAGAAGACTTACAGCGTGTAATGAAGAGTCTCTGCTGTCGTTCACAGCGGGCCTGTGTTAGCATTAGCGCTAGTGAAGGAGCGAGCCGTGGAACACTGGAGGAACATCCTGGGACCCAAAGACCCCATCCAGGCTAAGAATGAGCAACCTGACAGGTAAACTGAGATTTATAATAGTTTGATTTCTTCAGGACATTTCCCTCATTTGCTCAGCTTAGTGTGTTATTGTATATCATATCATGTTTATTTATAATAGATGCGTTTAAATGGTCAGTGGGCTCTTGACCGTTTCTCTGTATGTGGTTCTAATGTAGTCTGCGAGCCCAGTTTTCCTGCGGGAGCTCCAGCATTAATCAGCTTCACGGCAGTGGAAGCTCAGAGGAGGCGGAGAGGGAGATCGGCTTCTTCTTCCCACCGGAGGACACGCTCGCCGTCATCAAACCATTTTATATAAATATCGATGTTATAAGTTTATTTTAACATATTTTTAGTTTTAATTTTAAGTTTAGTTTAAGTTTTAGTAATTTAAACTTTTGCCAAGTTTTTTAAAATATATTTCTTTGGCTTTACTTTTATTTCAGTATTTTTTATTTATTTTTTCTATTTCTATTTAGCTTCATTTTTATTTCAGTTTTAGCACTTCAACTTATTTTATTTCAGTTAGTTGCCAAAGCATCATCTAAAATTTTTGATATAATATTTGATTTCAGCTTTATGTCAATTAACTGAAACAAGTTTTAGTTTTCGTTAACAATAACAACACTCCTCCATTTGTGTTATTTTGTAGTTTCGATGACTTTACTGTTATTCCACAATGTGTGAAAGTGTCATGATGAGAGAATGAGTAGATGTGTCCAAACCTTTGACTGCTAGTGCAGGCCAGGGTGATTAAGCTGGAGCTCTAACAGTCAGGGAGTAAAGTGCAGATGTGTTTGTAGAGGAGATTCTGGGCCAGATCCATGAAGCAGGATTTACAGTGGTCATGCAGAGAGAGCTCATGCTGTCTGAGGATCAGGTCAGGCAGTTCTACAGCGATCATCTGGAGCAGGAATACTTCCCCAGCCTGCTGGAGAGCATGACCAGGTGAGCGATCGCATTCATCACACATCTGATGCTGTGGAAAAACAATAAGCCTGTGCCGAGTCAAGCGGTTTATTACAACAGCAGCAACCGTGATATGATAAAACATGCCAATTTTCAACATATACAGTACAAGCATGCATTATTAATAATCATTTGAATTATCGCCAAGCAATGTAGCTTATGTAATTATAGAATGGTTTCAGAACCAGGTAGAACCTTTCAGACTCATCCAATCAGAATACAGAATTAGCAGTTTCAGTGTTCTGTTACATGGCTCTCTGCTTAAAGGGATAGTTCACCCAAAAATGAAAATTCCATCATCATTTACACACTCTCATGTCGTTCTAAACCTGTATGAATTTCTTTAGTCTGCTGAATGGCTACCAGCAACTGTGGCCAACCAAACAGTTGCTGGTACCCATTGACTTCCATTCTATGGGAAAAATACAATAAAGGTCAGTGGCTACCTGCGACTGCTTGGTTATCAACATTCTTCAAAGTATCTTCTTTTTTTTGTTCAACAGAAGAAACTCAGGTTTGTAAAAACGTATGGGTGAGTATATGATGACAGAATTTTCACTTCTGGGTGAACGATCCCTTTAAATTAATAAAGTAATTCAATATGGAAATTAAATGCATTTGAAAAGCTTCAGCTTGAGATTTATAGTTATTAAGGCCAGTTTTGCAAAATAGAATACAACAGCATTTTTGAGCAGTTCTCATTTTTGGATGTCAAAACATGGATATTACGGTTACCTAAAATGTTTTACTAAAATTTTCAAAATGAGTATAATTACAGAATCATTATTTAAAATAAATGTCACCTGAAAATATTTTATAGATAGATAGATAGATAACCATTCTGATTGGTCAGCGATCCACTCCGCTTCATGTCGTGCCTAACGCCCTTCAGCCAAATAAATGTTACCTGAAATTAATAAATGCTTAATAAATGTTAGCTGAAATTTTTTTTTATATTTTAAAATCTCTCTCTCTATATATATATATACTGTATATATACACATGCACACACACATATATATAAAAAATGTTGTTACTTAAAATAAATGTAGCAACTTTTCTCACTTTTGTTTTAACTAAAACTAAATCAACTAAAGCTAATACATAAAAAGTAATAAATACTATAAAGACATTTTTTTTTTAAATCACTAAAAATGACAAAAACAATAAAATTAAGTTTTAAATTACAGTGCAAACAAAATATAACAATATATTCTAATTCAAAACATTAACAAAAACTACAATAGTATATCAATGATACTGAAACAACTCCAGTTTTATCAAAATTATAATTATTAATATAATTATTAGATATAAAATATGCTATTCATTCTGAATTATGAATGCTGTCTTATCGAATCTAAAAAGGACTGTAAAAAAACAAGTTATTTTTTTATCTTCAAATTAAGCTTAATTGTAATCTTAGCTACATAGTTGCTAATTACATGAAAATAATGTGTAAATGAAGAAGCCAGAAGACTTACAGCGTGTAATGAAGAGTCTCTGCTGTCGTTCACAGCGGGCCTGTGTTAGCATTAGCGCTAGTGAAGGAGCGAGCCGTGGAACACTGGAGGAACATCCTGGGACCCAAAGACCCCATCCAGGCTAAGAATGAGCAACCTGACAGGTAAACTGAGATTTATAATAGTTTGATTTCTTCAGGACATTTCCCTCATTTGCTCAGCTTAGTGTGTTATTGTATATCATATCATGTTTATTTATAATAGATGCGTTTAAATGGTCAGTGGGCTCTTGACCGTTTCTCTGTATGTGGTTCTAATGTAGTCTGCGAGCCCAGTTTTCCTGCGGGAGCTCCAGCATTAATCAGCTTCACGGCAGTGGAAGCTCAGAGGAGGCGGAGAGGGAGATCGGCTTCTTCTTCCCACCGGAGGACACGCTCGCCGTCATCAAACCAGACACCCAACACAAGGGTATCATATCAGCAGTCACCCCGAACACAGACCAAAGAGTGGAGAGGGATCAGGGGCGGATTTAGTGAATTGGGGGCCTCAGGCAAAATATAGGAATGGGGCCCTATACATTTGCACACATTTTCCTAGATCAACCTTGAGGTTCCATTTTGTTGTTTTCAGCGTAAGCCTGTGTGCAAAGGCTGTCTAATTATAAACTTTAAAATACATTTATTTTTAGTTGTTTTAACTACAAATTTAAATAAAACTGAAAAAATAATGAAAAGGCAATTATAAATTTACACACCTAAAATACATATATCAAGAGCATGCTCACAGATGAGAACAAAACAGCGCTGGATGAAGTGGATTAAAGCCCTGCACGGGTCTCAAATATAGCCCGTCTTTTTTCCCCTTTTCCCAAAAAAAGCTTATACTACCGTTTCAACTATTAAAATAGTTCAGTT